ACCCCAATTCTCCAGGGCTCATTGGTGGGTGGCCTGCAGGCAAAGCCTGGCACGCAAAAGGTGCATTGGCTGCCTGCCAAGACGGCGCTGGCTGCTTAAAAAGCAGGTAGGGGGTGGGCTGCTTCCTTACTTCATCAGCTGATGAAGTTCGGCTCCGTGTGCCCAACCCCCATGTTAATCATTTCTGACCTGGGATTTTCAAAATATTCATTTACTTGTTTGGCTTTGGTTTTCATACCTCTGAAATGGTGAAACAGTCTAAGATTATTATGAGTGTTTAAACTCTAGTACAAAGTAGATATTCAGGAAGCGATAACTACTGAGGACATTTGTTGCCCAACCTCACACATGGGAGCATCTGGTTTTGATATTTATCTCTTCCTATGTATTTTTAAAACATTTTATTTATTTGCAAGGGAGTAGTACACTGAAAAAGGAAGAGACAGACAGATTCCATCTACTGGCTCATTCCTCAAATGGTTACCAATAGCTGGGGCTGGGCCAGGCAGAAAGACAAGAGAATGGAGCTCCATCAGCTCTCCCACGTAGGTGGCAGGGGCCCAAGCACAAACAACAGAAGGTTCACCTTCAGTTGCTTTTCGAGGCGGACTAGCAGGGAGCTATATATAAAGTATAACAGCTGGGACAGGTAGTGACGATTATATTAACCGTAGTGGAAGACCTGCAGTGAATTTCCGAGATCATGGGCTTCAGATCTGACCAAGTCGTGGATATAATGGGTATATGTGGGGTGAACCAGAAGATGCGTGCTTTCTCTCTAATAAATAAATATGAGTAATCTGATAGTAACATCCATTTGTCAAGCAGTTGTCTTATCTGGCAAATCTCTCTCCCTGTCTTTTTCTCTAATTCATCCTGGATGCTGTCCTGTTTTTCATGGTGCCTTTTCCTTCATTCTTTCTTTCTTTAAAAACATATTTATTATGGGCCTGGTGCAATGGCCTAGCGGATAAAGTCCTTGCCGGGAACGCCCCGGGATCCCACACAGGCGCCGGTTCTAATCCCAGCAGCCCAGCTTCCCAACCAGCTCCCTGCTTGTACATGGGAAAGCAGTCAAGGACGGCTCAAAGCTTTGGGACCCTGCACCCGTGTGGGAGACCCAGAAGTTGTTCCTGGATCCTGCTTTCGGATCGGCATAGCATCAGCCGTTGCGGCAGCTTGGGGAGTGAATCATCGGACGGGAGATCTTCCTCTCTGTCTCCTCCTCCTCTCTGTAGATCTGACTTTCCAATAAATAAATAAATCTTTAAAATAAAATAAATTAAAAATAAAAATAAAAACATATTTATTGGGCCCGGCATGATAGCGTAGCCGTTGAAGTCCTTGCCTTGAGTGTGCCAGAATCCCATATGTCTGCCAGTTCGTATCCAGGCAGCTCTGCTTCCTATCTAGCTTCCCACTGTGGCCTGGGAATGCAGTGGAGGACAGCCCAAAGCCTTGGGACCCTGTACCCGTGTAGGAAACCTGAAGGAGGCTCCTGGCTCCAGGCTCCTGGCTTTGGATTGGCTCAGCTTCAGCACTGTGGCCGCTTGGGGAATGAACCATCAGATGGAAGATCTTCCCCCTCTGTCTCTCCTCATCTCTGTATATCCGCCTTGCCAATAAAAATAAATAAATCTTTTAAAAATGTATTTATTTTGGAAATTAGATTATACACACGCAGAAAGGAAGAGAATCAGATAGAGATCTTCTACCTGCTGTTCCACTCAGATGGCTACATAGGCTGGGGCTGTACCAGCCTCAAAGCCAGGAACCAGGAGCTTGATCCACATCTCCCAAGTGGGTGCAGGGATCCAGGTACTTGGACCAAGCTTCCACTACTTTTCTCAGTCATTAAGAGAGAGTTGCATGGGAAATAGAGTAGCTAGGATTCGAACCCGAGTCCACCACATCCCTCTCCTCCTACAAGATAGACTACTCATTATTTCTGTTCATTCAGTACTGCTATTTTTCAACTATATGCCAGTCTTCAATCAATGGAATGTCAACATCTATACTCAACAATGCATTTCATTTTTTAAAAAGTTTTTATTTCTGGAGTCAGCACTGTGGTATTAGCAAGTTAAAGTGCCACCTGCAGTGCTAGCATCCCATAGAGGTGTTGAATGGAGACCTGGAAGCTCCACTTCCAACCCAGCTACATGCTAATATGCCTGACAGCAGAAGCTGGCCCAAATGACTGGGCCCCTGCACCCATGTGGGAAACCCACATGAAGCTCCTGGATTCAGCATGGCCCTGCCCAGACCACTGTAACCATTTGGGAATGAACTAGTAGATGGATGCTCACCTTCTCTGTAATTCTGTCTTTAAAAAAAAACCCACTTTTGTTTCTATTCTTGTTTTTTTAAGTTATAGTCCTAAGTCACATATATACTTTAATATAACCTTTATCTAAATATAAGGCAAATCCAAATTTCTCATTTGCTCAGAATGCCTATGGTTATGAAATATCAAGTCAGATAAGAAGAGTCCCTGGGCTTCCAAGGAACTTGATACGCACTAGCAGAGACAAGTCATTAAAAAACCTTATAGAGGGCCCGGCACGGTGTCGCAAGTGGTTAAAGTCCTCGCCTTGCAGACCCAGGATCCCATATGGGCACCGGTTCTATCCCAGCAGCCACACTTCCCTTCCAGCTCCCTGCCTGTGGCCCGGGAAAGCAGTCGAGGACGGCCCAAAGCTTTGGGACCCTGCACCCGTGTGGGAGACCGGGAAGAGTTTCCTGGCTTCAGATCTGCATAGTATCGGCCGTTGCACTCACTTGGGCAGTGAATCATCGGATGGAAGATCTTCCTCTCTGTCTCTCCTCTCTGTATATCTGCCCTTCCAATAAAAAAATAATAAAAAAATAAATCTTTTAAAAACCTTATAGAAGTAAAACCTAATCAAAAAGAATATGACAACAACTTCCAAAAGTAATACTACTTGATCAAATTGAAGGCATCTGGACTAAAGACTCTCTAAAATAATCTGTGTTATAGATTTCATTCATAATCCTAATTTGCCATGATGCCCTACTAACATTTTTCACGCTTTCCCAAAATGTTATGTTTTCACACCTCCATGCCTCTGTTCATATTTAAGTACTAATACTTTGGATCTAGGTAGAGATACATTACGTATTGCTTGGGTAAGCAAGCACTATTAAATTTGGTCACTTTGGTTATTTCTCTTTGGCATCGGTATTTGCTTTTGTAAATTCACAACAACACCAGGCCATTCAGAGAAGTAACTAAGACCACAACACACTTATCACACTGTATAGTACATATCCTTGGCAAATGGTAGGTATTATAATTTTTTTCCTTGAGTCAAAATTGAAAATTTTTCCACTAAAACCTTTAGCAAAGCAAATTCACATGACTCCTTTAAAAGGGTTTCATACAAAAAAAATTTTTTTTCCTCACATGAGAGAGTGAGTCACTGGGCCCAAGCCTCAAAAGATAGCTTGATAGCTCAGACTGTAGTTTTTTCTTTTTAAAGCACAATGTTCAGTAAGAACTTTTATATTAATCAGCATGAAGATATACAATAAAAGTCACAAAAAGTATTACCTGGTTCTACACAAAAAATATCTTTATTTCCTACTCCAGTCTTCAAAAAAAGTCACAACCCATCAAACTGATTTCATGATCCACAGTGACAAATACACTGGCTTAATCTACTTTGCCTATCACTTTTAAAGAGGGTGACCTATTTTTAAACCATTATTCTTACCATTGTACAAACCTTAAAATTATTGTAGCACTAGCTCTGCTTTTAAATTTTCATATCATCATGACAAAACATCACAATTCAAGTTAAAATATTTTATTATTAACATCACCTTAATAAACACCAATGTTTATCTGATAGTCTCTTTGTTAACTGAGAAAGTGTTATTGCTAAACCTGAGCTTTTAACTAAAGTCTAGCTAACAGGACGAAAGCTTTTACTCTTTGTAATGGCAAAGTGTCCCATGATTCAAGACTGAGTCACTCTTGTCCACAAATAGAATATTAACATGCTCTTAAAAGATATCAACAGTTGGCCTCTTGGTTCATAAGAAACAACTGGCATTATTAATTTCTCTACCCACAAGTAAGACCATGCTGCCGGGAAATTCCACTCAAACAAAAGAAACATTTGGTAATGGATGTGTAAGGAAAAAAGTGACCTGTGGGGACCTGGCACGGTGGCGCAAGTGGTTAAGGTCCTCACCTTGCATGCCCGGGATCCCATATGGGTGCCGGTTCTATCCCAGCAGCCCCACTTCCCTTCCAGCTCCCTGCCTGTGGCCCGGGAAAGCAGTCGAGGACGGCCCAAAGCTTTGGAACCCTGCACCCATGTGGGAGACCGGGAAGAGTCTCCTGGCTTTGGACCAGCATAGCATCGGCCGTTGCACTCACTTAGGGAGTGAATCATTGGACGGAAAATCTTCCTCTCTGTCTCTCCTCTCTGTATATCCGCCTTTCCAACAAAAAAGTAATAAAAATAAATCTTTGGAAAAAAAAAAAAGTGACCTGTGAATTGAAACACTTATTTACAACAATATCCATGATTTAAAATTGACATATGGAAGACTGGGATGAGGGCTAATGCTATAAAACAGCCAAGTTGGACCACTGCCTGTAACATGAGCATCCTATGTGGGTGCCACTTCATGTCCTATCTGTTTCACTCCAGCAGTCCTGCTAATGTGCCAGACCAGGAGGAAGGCCTTGGCTTCTGGCTTTGGCCTGGCCCAGTCACAGCCTTTATGGCTATTTGTGGAATGAACCAGAGGTGGAAGAGCTCTCCTTCCCTATCTCTACCTCTCATCCCCACCTCTCTCTTTTACTCTGCCTTTTAAATAAATAAATATACCTTATAAAAAATGAAAACTGGGATGGAAAAAAGTGACCAGTAAGGCAGTATCTCTAGTGCACATAACTTCAAATTAAGAAAAGGGCTGTAAGAAATACTCCAAGAAGACACTGATTTAAGAAATGTCATGCTTACATCTGCACTGTCACTGTTCGGCCGAGAAGTATCTCCAGAGCTGCAATCAGCCCTGCCTGGGATATCTCCAGGATCTACTTCTGCCTCACTGACTGTTAAGGTGTCACCTAGAGGCCTGGAGGGTGTAACTAGAGCTCCATCCTAAAAGAGATCAAAGGAACACACACACATAAAAGAAAACTTTGATTAATGACTGTGTAAACAAAGTGGCACAACAATCTACATTGAGAATGCAAAAAGTTGGACATTCTGATGTGATCAAGAATGTTTTACGCAATATCAGTAAAAAGAACAAGTAATTACTAAATTCTATCATTTTAAAATGCCATAACCAAAGATAAGAATATTACAGACAAGAAGTGATATTTTAATAAAAAGAGAAGTTTCCATTTCCAAATATAGCAAAAAGGTAAAACAGTCAAATAATTTATGGTATCTGCTCGCTGTTTACGATTATTACACTATAACTTTTGGTTAACTATCTTCCAATACTTCAGAGTTAGGGTTATAAATTGCCAATTTTGGCACATAATGAATTCTTATAAACTTTTAAATCAGAAACTCCTTCTTTACTTTTGGATCAGAATGAGAATTTTATCTTTCTCAGGGGTAAAAACATAAGGCTTACAATACTACTGAAGCATAACACTCAAAAAAATGTGACATGAGAAGTGGGGCTGAAAGCAGCAAAAATAATGTGTAATGGAAAGTATACTAAATAGAATATAGGAGACCTTTACACACTGTGTATGAGTGATCTTGTATAATCATTCAGTTTAGGCCTAGTTTTTCCAAACACAAAACATGACTTTTCCATTAAAAAAAAAATATTAGGCTATCTGATTTCCAAGATCCTTTACTGCTCTGAAAATGTGGTTTCTACTTCAGATCTAACTCAGAGATACTGACAAATAAACAGCCTTCACCCATTTTAAACACACAGGCAATTTGTCTATTTTGTTTTAAGATGTAATGCAAAAAGCTTTAATTATCAAAAAAAGGAATATTAAAAAATATAAACTTGGCTGACTAAAAAAGTTTAACATTTTTTTTCTGATGAGACCATTATCCCTATCACTAACATCTATATAGAGAATTCTATTGAACTACATTTAAAATTACAAAAAATAAAATTATTAAGAGAATGAATGTGCTCTAAGTCCTCAGACTGGATCTAAATTCCATTTCTACCACTGCTAAGCTCCATGGTCTGAGACCCTAACCTCTCTTTTTGTTCGAGTACGTAAAATGGGAGAACCACAGGATTTACCTAAACTCAGAAGGTTACTGTGCACATTAAACAATAAGAGAATGTCTGTATATGCATTCAGCACAATGCTTGTCAATCTATAAAATCAATATCCTCCTGGAAAGCATAAACTGTCATTCTGTATACAGATAGCAGAATGAACCACAAAAATTAAAATGTTATCTGAATATATTTTAGTAGTTTGTCACATCAAAGCAAAAGCAGTCTTTTTTGAAGTTATTATGGAACAAAGAAAAGTGACATGAGCAAGCAAACAAGCAGAAGCCAACATTTATTTTTGTTAATTATTACTTCTGTAACATCCTACACAGGACATCCTGTTGCCCTATACTAGAAAAATAACGTTTTAAAAAGGTGACTGCAACATTCTCTGACACATTCCCAGAAGAAAACTCTCCTGCAAAAAGTTGGGTAGCATGTGTAAAGTGATGCTACCTGAGCAGAGCCTGTGGCTTTGGATAGCTGCTCTTGCAGCTGAGGAATGTGTTTCTTGGCCTCTTGGATCTCTTTTAGCAATCTTTGGGCAGGTGTTCGGTTGTAATCTTCCTGCAATAACTGAAAAGTTATAAAAATATTTTGAGAATTAATTATGTATGTCAAGAAAATATAGAAAAAGTCTATTCTTAATCATTAAAATAGCTGATAGCATTGATTATAATACTTCTTGACTGTGATTATGACAAACACCAATTCAGCTATGCCCACTCACATTTTTACTGGTTTATAAACAGTCCTAGTTCCAATTTAGTACCTGTAGCCGTTCCTGTTCTTTCTGTAACATTTTTCTCAGAATTTCTACTTTCTGGTTATGAACCACATTGTTTTCCTCCTAGGAAAAGATAAACAACCAACATAGGGAAATGAGGTTAAAACAAATGCTGAAAGCAACATATACAATATTCTAAGCTCTAAATACAAGTACCTATGAGAATTTTCTTTATTCCCAGTGGCTCAGAAGACAGGCATTTTAACCTGACTTCTACCAAAATTAAAGGCTCCAGGGAAATGCTCACCACTCTATTTCACTTTTACTACACTGGGTTCAAAAGAACATTAAATATTTATACGTTAGCTGAACTTGTAGGTACAAAAATAATACACTTTTCCCTCCTTTGAATCTTTGTGTGGCTCATATTCTCAGTACTTTCCCCTGAAATATGAAGAGTTTTCTAACTCATGTTTTATCACCTCTCCTTGTTTCACAACCGTATCCTTTCCAAATTAGCCTTCTTACAATCTTATTATAAACAAGTAACTCTTTTGCTCACAGAAATAGTTAATGCATTCCTACAGTGTGCTCTATTACATAAAATTAGTCTCACAGTTGTGATATTTCTCAAGATACAATCTACTTTTTTCAAGCTCATCTCCCCAAATGTATATTAACAAGGCCCTAGCCAAACAGAAGCTCTGGCTATTTCCCAAAAATATTTCATGCTTTCTTGACTGCCTATTCCGCTTCTAACTGGGCTGCCTTCCTTCCCATTCTACCAATGTTAGTAACACCTGTATTTTAAGCATCAATTAAAATAAAGGCTTTCTTTAAAGGCTTTCCTTGTCACAATCAGATGTGCTTTCTCTGAATCCTCAAACAATGTAGTTCTTACTACTTGCATAAACTTTGACCTAATTTTTGTCAACAATAGTTTATTAAACACCTACCAAATGCCAAGTAGTATTTCAAGCACTAGGAAGACAACAGGAAATAAACAGAAAACCCTTATTCTTCTAAAGTGTACATTCTAAGATGACTGAAGACCTTGAACAAAGGATCGTTATATTTTTTGTGGGTAACACGTTGTTTTGTATTTGATAAGTGATAAATATTGGTTAATTAGATCTGCTAAGACAAAATGTGATCACTCTCAATTATTATGTGATTTTTAGATTAGGAAGTCTGCTTCTAGAATCTTTAATTTGTTTTACAGCCCCAAACATCAAACTACTAATATAATGCATAGGTATCCTTAGTCAACAGGGCATTTACTTGGCAATTTCCTACTCTTACCCCCATTAGCACAGGGCTGGTGATTCTCTCCATATTCCCAGATGCTCCAGGTGAATGAGGGGATGTCATGATAGGAGACATATGTCCAAGGACTGATGGTTCTACTTCAGAATCAGCAAGCGGAATCTGGGGCGACCCAGGTGGGCGTCCCTGAACAGTGAGAGCTACATAGGAACCGGCTTAGGGTAAGAAGATAGAAGAATGGAAGGAAAAGGAAAATAATATTGTCAAGAAACATTTTACAGCATTTTACTATTTAATCTTTGACACTTTTAAAAGACCCACCTATATGACAAAGTCCCATCATTTACCAATGTTTCCACAAAAAAGGAATCCATTCTGTTATTTCCATTTAATTACTGCTCTAAAAACCTACATAAATAGTACAGCTTTCAGGTAGCAATTTATTACTCACAGGTATTACACAAAGCAAATAAAATTTCTAATATCAATAATATACTTTCATAAATCAAATAATACCAGCCATGTATTAACTACTATGTTCAACTAATTTTCCAAATGTAAATTTTAAAATCTACATATTTTAAGGTAATACTAATTAACCAGGGCTTAAAAATACTTAATACTCTGGCATATTAGAATATAAGCTGTTAGTGCTAGTGTTGTGGCATAATTGGTATAAAGCCATTGCCTGCAAGGCTGGACCTGTATGGGCACTGGTTTGAGTCTCAGCTAATCCACTTCTGATCCAGCCAGTTCCCTGCTTGTGTGCCTGGGAAGGCAGCAGAAGAAGGCACAATTCCTTGGGCCTCTACACCCAATTGGGAGACTTAGAAGAAGCTCCCAGCTCCTGGCTAAACCTACAAATAGAGGATCTCTCTGTTTCTCCCTTGCTCGCTCGCTCTCTCTCTCTCTGAAACTCTGTCTTTAAAATAAAATACATCGTCTTTAAAAAATAATATAAGCTGTAACTTTAGCTTTACAAAAAACACAATGAAATAATTTTTAAAATACTAATAAGCAGTGACTTTAAAGTCAAAATTTTTGGAGAAGCTGATATAAATCTTCTAAGAGTGATAAAATCATGAAAGCTAAATTTATTAGAATCAGAAAGATTCAAGGAGTATTCATTAATTGTCTAACATCAAAAAGATCATCCAAATAAATGACTTTTCTAGGCAAAAGGACAAAACAATATGTAAATGCCAAATCCTTTCTCTTAGAATTTTCATTAGAACTTTTAAACTTATTTCAAAGTTGTCTTAAGAATTAACTCTCGAGGAATTCACACCCAATATTTCACAGTATTCTGAGATCCCCAAAATAAATATTTTTGTTACACTAATAGTCATAAGCACTGTGATTTGAGGGAACTGTAAACATAACTTTTTTGAGGGTTTTCAATCTTACTGAGCTCTGTCAGAAAGTCATCTGAAATGTCTTCAAAAAGTTCATGAAAAGGGACCAGTGTTATGGCGATATGCCTAAGCTGCTGCCTGTGAGGCTAACACTCTATATGGGCATCTGTTCATGCTGGATGCTCCACTTCTGATCCAGCTCTTTGCTACTGCATTTGGGAAAGCACTGGAAAATGGCCAGGTCTTTGGGTTCCTGCACCCTTAGAAGAGACACAAGAGAAGCTCTGAGCTCTTGGTTTCAGCGTGGCCCAGTCCTGCCCACTGCAGCTATTTCGGAGTGAACTAGCGGATATAAGATTTCTGTCTCTCCTTTTCTCTCTCATCATAATTCTGCCTTTCCAATAAACAATCTTCTTAAAAAGCTGACATGGTACTTCAAATGAGTTTATGAAAAACACACGTGTGAATAAATTCCATATGCATTAAATAAACATAAGTCTAACAAGTCTCTAAGTCTCCCACAAGGATAACAGTAGCTTATCTACTTTTAGGTAACATTAGCAAGAAGCTGGATAAGAAGCAAGGTAACAGGGACTCAAATCAGGCACTCTAAAATAGAATGTGGATATTCCAAACGGCAGCCTACCCAGAATTCAAAGTTGTTTCACTTAATCAGTAACAGGACCAAGAAAGAATTCATTTACTGAATTTATTCTAAAAATGCCCATCCACTCAATGAAAAGAAAATTAAATACAACAGTGATTCTGTTTGACCATAATTCTTTTACTTATAATTTACTGTGAAATAATCAGATGCAGAAGATCAAATTTTAACTTTTTAGAATTTCATTCAGTTTAAGCTATCTCATTATCCTTACCTTTCAGAAATAAAATAAATGCATAAACCAAAGCCAAGCCAGAACAAAAAAAAGTGAAGTGCTGGTACTTTAATGTGACTTATTTTATTTAAATGTCTAACCCATTACAACCTGCAAGCGTAGCTTACACCACCCCTGAGTTTTCTCCTGTCCCTGTGCAGATGGAAAAATTGAGGACCTGCCTGGAGCTTGGGGCCTGGCCTGCCCGTGTCTCATGGCAAATCTGGACAGCAGAGTTTTAGTTCCGCCCCTGTAATGATGAGAAGTAGCCCGCTGCAGACCCATCATTTTGAACCTCTTTCTCCATGGAGAATGAATCCCAGGTGGGCTACTCATCTGAGCCTGAAGACTCATAGATTTTTTTGTTTAAAAACAAAAGATTTTCTAATTGAAAAGTCCAAAGAGAGAGAATTTTCTATTTGCTGATTCAATGCCCAGATGACCTCAATGTCCCATGCTGGGCTAGGCTAAAGCCAGGAGCTTCAATCCAGGTCTCCCACATGGGTGGCCAAGGCCCAAACACATCAGCCATCTTCCACTCCCCTTCTCAAGCCACTGACAGGGAGAACTTGAAGTGGAAGTAAATCAGCCAAGACATGAGCCAGTATGGGATGTTGGGATTGCAGCAAGCAGTAGCTTTACCTGATGTATCATAATGCTGACCATAACCACCCCCCCCCAAAAAAATTGCTTTTAAAGATTCATGATTGGGACCTGGTGGTATGGCCTAGCAGCTAAAGTCCTTGCCTTGCACACGCCGGGAACCCATATGGGCGCCAGTTCTAATTCCGGCAGCTCCACTTCCCACCCAGCTCTCTGCTTGTGGCCTGGGAAGGCAACAGAGCAATGGCCCAATGCTTTGGGACCCTGCACCCGTGTGGGAGACCTGGAAGAGGTTCCTGGATCCTGGCTTCGGATTGGCACAGCACTGACTGTTGCAGTCACTTGGGGACTGAATCATCGCATGGAAGATCTTCCTCTCTGTCTCTCCTCCTCTCTGTAGATCTGACTTTGTAATAAAAATAAATAAATCTTTAAAAAAAAAGATTCATGATTTATTTGAAAGGCAGAGTTATGGAGATAGAAGAAGCAGAAAGAGAGAGAAAGAGAAAGCGAGAGAGAAAGAGAGAGAGAAATCTTCCATCCACTGGTTCACTCTCCAAATGTCCACAACAACAGCTTGTGTGGGTCAGTCCGGGCCAGGAGCAAGAAGTATCATATGAGTGCACGGGCCCAAGCACTTGGGCCATCTTCCACTATTTTCCCAGATGCATTTTCAAAGAGCTGGATTGGAAGTGAGTAAAGTGATGTATCGGCTAATACCAATTGCAGTTTAATCCACTATGCCAGACCACAAGCCTGATCATAAATTTTTTAACCCTGAAGTCTTTCAAAGGAGAAGACTGTTACCCCCAATTTATGCAATGATTTACATATTGGGGGAAAGCAATCCTACAACGTGATTTCCAAAGTTCCATTTAAGTTCAATAAGTCAATGGGTCCGATTCCTCAGCCTCTTTCCTCTCAGCGGACTCATGCATCTTTTTAACATGTATCTATTCTATATTGCCAAGGATGACTAGAATATTATAGTCAAGCAAATATGTACAGTTGATAGACTATAACTTATTCTATTTGGGAGTTTTCATTTCAGATTTTATTTCAACGTAGGAGTTAGCAAAGTCCAGCTAAGTGGCTAAATTTGGCCCACTGCCTGTTTTGGTAAACAAAGTTGTACTGAAACACAGCTACATCCATTCCTTTACATTTTGTCTATACTCTCATGCTGCAATGACTATCTGGCATGGCCCACAAAGCATAGAATATTTACTACTTGGCCTATCACAAAAAATGCTTGCTAATTTCTGTTTTAAAGGTTTCAAAAACACCTAAAAATGAGAAATACATTAACCTACATTTGATTAGCTTCACCACTTCCAAATGGTTTGAGTGAGTCACCAGAGTTCCATTCACCTATAAGAAAATGAAAGCAGTATATATCAGACATATTTTCTTCAAAGGATAAACTGATTTAAGAAATTGCCATATGTAATATAACCAATAACAATATAACAAGCAGAGTTGCATTAAAACACACATATTTGGGCCCAGTGCAATAGCCTAGCCGTTAAGGTCCTCGCCTTGCATGCTCAGGATCCCATATGGGCATTGGTTCATGTCCCAGTGGCCCCACTTCCAGTTTAGCTCCCTGACTGTGGTCTGAGAAAGCAGTCCAGGACAGCCCAAAGCCTTGGGACCCTGCACCCACGTGGGAGACCCAGAAGGGGCTCCAGGCTTCTTGCTTCAGATCAGCTCATCTCCAGCCATTGCAGCCACTTGGGGAGTGAATCAACAGACAGCAGATCTTCCTCTCTGTCTCTCCTCCTCACTATATATCTTTCAATAAAAATAAATCTTTAAAAAAGGCCATATTCATATTTGCTTCAATATTTTTATCACTACTCTAGGAGATTCAACCACAAAATCAACATAAACATAAAATAGGCCCTTGATTTAAAGGAGATGTACCATGATAAAAATGTACCATGAACACATTTAAAGACATTTTTCTAGAATAAAACAAAGGTCCCTACTGTATTAGGAATTCACGGATTTGTCAATATAAGTCAAAAAAAGATTTTAAAAAATCAATATTTCAATAGTATTCAATTTATTTTTAGTTTCCCAGGGGTACTGAATCTTTACAAAGAAATTTAAATTTTCAGACTTGTTAAGTGAAGGAAATGTCACCCAAAGTCTCTAACAAATTAAGATAAAGCTATCATGGATTTCATGATAACTTTACCTTTGTCGGGAAAACACTGTTAACCATGACATTTATCTTAAGACTTTTTTTATTTTTACCAGAAACACACAACAGAGGCATTTAATATCACTGCCTTTTTCCCCACCAAAAATACTTGTTTCCATGACATTGCTGGTAAATCTCCATATAGGTACATGAAGACCTAACCTATTCTTTATAAAAGCTATGGACAGAATTTCTTTCTTTAGTCCTCACTTCATAAATCTTTGGATTCTTTAGAAGTTTCAGGATGATAAAGGTGAAATTAGTCTTCCAGTATACACATCACTTCACACTTATATATTCAATTCCTTAGAAAAGCTCCTACAAACGGACTGCTGCTCGAGGTTATGTACTTTCTCTCCAAGGTTTTGACACATATTCACAACGCTGTAACAGCCACATTTCAACCCAGGTTTCTTCCAATGTGTACTATTACGAGATGAGTTACTTACCAAACTTAAACAACGCTATATGTGTTACTAATCTTTAAATTTTTTGACAATCCAATATGTTTTTCAGTAATCATTTTAATTTCTACTTCCTTGTTATCAATTAGCTTGAACATATGTTCTCATTAACATGTTTATCTAGTAAGATTTTTACCCATTTTCTATTAGAATATTCTTTCCTTAGTACTTTAAAGGCGCTCTGTATTGTGTTGTCTGATACACGAGTATTTTTTTCAAATTATTTTGGTAAAATATGCTCATGGTATCCTTTTTCGTACAGTAGTTTAATTTTAAGTAATCTTATTAATCAACTATTTCAAACTGTTTCAAGAGCAATTACTACTAACTAACTTATTTTTTCTCCACTGACCAGAATTCAAGGTCTGTTTTCCAGATTCTATTTTGTTCCACTGGTAGATAAATGAGTACATCTAAATTAGTCGGATGCTTTAAGTTAGTCCATCCCATCTCTTCTCATACCTAGCCCCACACATTACATACTTTTCCTTTGGATAAATCTTACACCTTCATAAAGTTCATTAGGAAAAATAGTCAGTTTGACCAGAATATACCACTATGATTCTATTTGATATTTTGATGAGAATTTCTAACAATGACTTGGAGAAAAATAATCTTTAACACAGTAAGTCAGTCTCCTACTCGAAAATGCTTATGGTTCCATTAATCAAGCCTTTTATTATGCACTTCAACAAAAAGAATATGGATTTGAAAACAAATGAGTAATTTTTTTAAAGACTCACTTGTTTATCTAAAAGGTAAAGTTACACGAATGGCAGGCAGAGAAAGATATGTTTCACCTATTGGTTCATTCTCCAAACGGGCAGGCAGCAGCAGCCAGGGGCCCCAGCACCATATCTTGGTCTTACAGGTGGCTGGCAGGGTCCCAAGCACTTGGACCTTTCCAAGGCACATTAGCAGGGAGCTGGAACAGAGCTGGAATAGTTGGGACTGGAGCCCATACAGGATGCTGGTGTGCTAGGAGGCAGCTTAACTTGCTGTGCCACAATGCCAGTCTCACAAATCAGTAACTTTTTAGTCAACAGGCCAATCAAATGTTATGTTATTGTTTTCACAAAAACATGAATGGAAAAAAACATATTCCTGCTAACACAAGCTGGTTTCCAGTTACCTTGATGATTCGATCACCTGTCTGTACTCCAGCCCGCATGGCTGCTCCATCTGTAAGAAAAATTAACCACTTAAAATACAACTCATTTGTATTTACTGATAATCAAAGACAGGCAGTATTACTGAGTGATTCAAAACATGGGTTGTAAAGTCAAATTGGCAAGTTCAAATTCTGCCTTTGCCATTCATTAACTGTCTGACCTCAGACTGATTTTAGTTGTTTTTTGCTTGTTTTACTGAAAGTCTCAATTTGATCTATAAAATGAAGAATCAAAGTACTTGCCTCAAACTACAATAGTCAAGAAAACATAATTAATACATGGTAATAGCTGGAGGAATTACCATTTTAGGAAAATATCTGACATTTTTGTAGCTATAACTTTTTTTCATTTTTGTACCTACCATTTTTAATCCATCTCTACCAAAAAATTATTTCTATTAATATGGAAAAAAATCTCAGAAATTTCTGCAATAAATTATTAAGTTCAAGGAATACACCAATCTTAAAACTACGCGAATTGGTTTCTTCTATCAAGTCAGAAGAAAATATACAAGAATAAATTCATTCCTACCCTATGACACTATAAACAAATCCTAACATAATAGTGCATGTAACCTGCAACCTATACAATTCTGTTTTGGGCAAGACATTATTGTATCTTTTCTATTCTTATTCTATTTGCTAACAAGAGACAAAACTGAAAAAATGGCTTGCCTTCTTTCACAGACTGTACGAAGACGGGATTGTCTCCACTGACTGTCAACCCAAATCCATTGTCATCTTTCTGGATGATCACACAACGCTGAACAAGACCTGTGTAAGTACAAGCCACAGAGTAAAGACACAGGGAAGAGAAAACAAAGAAAAAGAACATAATTATATAATTAACGGTATTCTATCTAGAGAACACAAAGCAGTATATGAAAATGATAGATAAAATAAAAGCACTAACCCCCCCAAAACAAAGGAACAGAATACCACAATCACATACACTGATGTCCACAGGAAAGAAAGAAAGTAGTGATCCCAAGATTAAAACATCCAAACAACACTGGAAAAGAAATACTAGAGAGGAGACAGTTAAAACGAAAGCCTATTCACGTCTATTGTAGCTATTTGTGACACAAGCTATTTTCTTACCAACCTGCGTTCAATTCAAGAAAGCCTAAAGTAGGCTTCCTATGTTGAAACTTAATCTCTGTTGTAAGATACAAAGATGATGGGGGCTTGGCTGGACGTAAGACACTGAGGAAGTAGTTAGGATTAAACACAAGTTCCCACTGAATTCTGCTGCTTTACGAGAAGAGGGAGAAATAAAGACATTTCCTCCCCACTGCCATATGATGAGGCTGTGTACTCCTACAGGGCTCTGCCAGCATGAAGGTCATCACTAGACAATGGGCCTAAATCTTGGACTTCCAGAACACAAAGCAAAAACAAAACAAGACAAAACAAAAAACCCTCCCCCTCAAGCAAAAACAAAGACAACTTCTTGCTTTTTTAAAGCAGCCTGCTTCAACTATGCCATTACAGTAATGAAAAACAGTAATACAGGCTAGGAGCATCCCACAGAAAATTCTAGACATATTCAGTTTTTTCTCAGGAAGAAAGGATATCAAAGGAAAAGATATTGGCAGGGTACATGTAACTATTCTTCCAAGAGGAAAAGAGAATGGGAAGAATTCAAAGGGAAGGAAAAATCTCAATAAAAAAATTAAAGGAAGAAAAATAGTAGAAACAATGTGAGAACTTGTGAGCTCAATCATATATTTCACCTATTTTATATACTAACTTCGATTCTTAGAGGGGAATGTTTCTCCTTCTATTAAAATAGCAAATAAAAACTATTACAGCAAAGAGAAAGTGGATTCCAACCACAGGGACAGGAAATGTTCTGGAACCCTGGTTTGTCCTGTTTTATCAAAGATCAGGTCTGATGATCTTAAACTCTTTGCTAGTCAGACATTCAATATACTTTCAGTTCACAGAATCTAAACATTTCATCAAAACATCAGCATGTAAAACACATAAAATAGCATAATTATTTCAAAATAAAAGTTAAATACAGACTTTCATGTGATGAGCCACAATCTTAATAAGACTGAGGTACAAATTAAAGCATATGTGATACATATTAATGTATCTGTGGACAACACCACAAAATGAAAATGTGAACCTTACAAACTACGAGAAACTGGAATAATTTGATCTCCACTGAAGAAAACATGAACCTTAAACTCGTACTCTGCACAAAAACTAACTTAAATGAGATCACAGGACCCAAAACCAACAACTAAAATTTTTCAGAAATCTAAGAGGAAATCTTTGAGATCTTAGATGGGCATAGGTCTCTTATGATTCAAAATGCAGCAACTAGTAAAGAAAAAAAAATTGGGCAAAGTGGAGTCAGATTTTGTAGCATATGCTCTTCTAGAGACAATGATAATAAAATAAAAAGACAAAGTCACAGATCAAGAGAAAATATAAAAGATTTGCGTACACATTTGTGTACTATTTGAAACAAACAGAGACAGATTTTAAGACACAGGCAAACTGAGAAGCACACAAGAGGTCTCCCATCAATTGGTTCATTCTCAAATGTCTACAAAAGCTGTGTTAAGTCAAAACAGGTGCCAAGAACTCAATCCAGGTCTCCCAGGAAAGCGGCAGGAATCCAACCATTTGATTCAGCATGTGCTGCCACCCAGGATCTGCACAGGAGGAAGCTGGTATCAGGGACTGCAGGTGGACTTGAACCCAGGTAATCTGTTTCAGGTTGTGAGCATCTTAATCACCAGTTTATTGCAGATTTTATACACACACAAATATATGTATATAATTACACAATTCAACAAGAAGGACAAATTTTAAGGGCTGGAGATTTATATAAGCACATCACAAAGAATGCACACCAACAGTCAATAAGCATGCAAAAAAGTGCTTAGCCTCTGTCACCATCAGAAATGCAAATTAAAATCACAGCAGATACAACTAAACATCAAACAGAATGTCAAAAATTAGAAGGCTGATAATATCAAGTGTTGACAAGCACATGGAGCAACCGAAACTCTCATATTATTGCTAAAAACAGTTTGGAGATTTCTTATAAGAGTAAGCAAGTATTTACAATATGACTCAACAATTTCACTCCCAAGAGCCATGAAAACTCATGTTTACAGAAATCACAGCATTGTTATTCATGAAAGCGAAAAGCAAAAAACAATTCAAAACATGAAGGTATAAATAAATTGTGGTATGCTCATTTAATGAATTACTACTTAAGAAAAGAAAAAAATAAAGGACTACCATACATACAAGAAGCATGGACTAATCACAAAAACATTACCCCAGGCAAAAGAAACCAGACACAAAGAAGAGTATGTATCATAATGACTCCAATGTAAAACAGGGAAAACTAAACTATAGCAACAAACACAGAACAGCAGCCGCCCAGGAGCAGAGTGGGAAAGAAGAATGAGAACAACTCAAAAGAAAAGGAAACTTTCTGGGGTGCTTGAAATGTCCTGTACCTTACCTATAATCATCATTCTTTGAAGATACTGCTTATCAAAAATATCAAACTGTAAATTTCAAGTTTCTCTTATTTGACTTTTCTCTATATTTGAATTGATTTTCCACATTCCAATGGGTTATCCCTTAATTCTAGAGCTACTAAATACTAAACAGGATTTATATTCACTGATTAATACTTATAAATAAGAGCAGAAAGAAGGCAACTCATCAGAATTCAATCTTTTTCTTCTGTTCTTCAAGATACTAGAAAACTACAAATATGATGAATATGAACTCACAAAATCGAGTAAAAAGTATCCCTTTGGCCTAGTAAGTGAGACTGCAGTTATGAAGCTACACCCCTCCCAGAGAGAGCCTGGATCTAAGCTCCAGTTCCACTCCCCAGTGTTAGCTTTTTGCTCACACTCACCATGAGAGGCAGCAGGTACTGACAAAAGCACTTCAGTTTCTGCCATCCATATGGGCTATATGGATTGAGACACTCTCATTCCTAACTTCAACTGGACCAGTCCAAATTGCAGAATGAACTAGCACATGGGAAATCTCTCTGTATTTATCCATGTGTCTGTATCTTATCGCCTCTCAAGTAAATACACTTTCAAATACTCCTCATAAATCTCCAGTACCTCATCAAATAAGTGAACAGGCAACCTCAAAAACAAGCACCAGATCTTTACAACTTTTTAAATCTATGCTTAATTTCTACTTTTTCTAAGTTTTATTTATTTTTATTGGGAAGGCAGATTTACAGAGGAGAGACAGAAAGATCTTCCATCTGCTGGTTCACTCCCCAAATGGCTGCAATGGCTACAGCTGACCGATCTGAAGTTAGGATCTGGAGTTAGGATCTTCTTCCCAGTCTCCCATGTGCAGTTGCAAGGTCCCATTTGAACTGTCCTCGACTGCTTTCCCAGCCACAAGCAGGGAGCTAAATGGGAAATGGAACAGTTGGAACATGAATTCATACTCATATGGGATCCCAGCACTTGTAGTTGGAGGATTAGCCAATTGACCCATCACGCTGAGCCCAAAATACATGCTTATTTTAAAAAACATACACATCCTAAAACTTAATATTATCTGAAATTTCAAAACAAAGTATATATTGCATTTAAAAATAAAAAATCAGAGTGAGAGCATGGCACAGTAGTTAAGATGCCACTTGGGATATCTTACATCTCATACCAGAGTGCTTAGTTTGAGTCCTAGTTTACTTTGACTTATTATTAGCTTTGTGCTAATATGTATACTGGGAGGCAACAGGTAACATCTCAAGTACTTGGGTCCCTGTCACCCACGAGGGAGACTCAGATGGGGTTCACAACTCCTGGATTGAGCCTGGCCACTGCACATATTTTGGAGAATGAACCAGCAAATAAGAGATTCCTGTCCATATTCCTTTCTGTCTCTTCCAAGTAAGCACGTAGTTTTTAAAAATAAACAAAAAAGGCAAATGTAACATTGGATATATTTTTTCAAACTGTATTTATGCTTTTTAGTTTTCCTGTTCCCATCTTTTATTTTTAAGATTTATTCTTTTTTTTTTTTTTTAATTGGGAAGGGCAGATTCAGAGACAGAGAAAAAGGTCTTCCATCCACAGGTTCACTCCCCATGTGGCTAAAATGGCCAGAGCTGAGCTGACCCCAAACCAGGAGCCAGGAGCTTTTTTCAGGTCTCCCAAGTGGGTGCAGGGTCCCAAGGCCTTGAGCCATCCTCTACTGCATTCCCAGGCCACAAGCAGGCAGCTGAATGGCAAGTGCAGCAGCTGGGACACAAACTAGTGCCCATATGGGATCCAGGCACACTTGCAAGATAAGATGGGTATTTATTCACCGAGCCTTCACACCCAGGCACGTAGTTCCATCTTTTAAGAGCTGAAAAATCAATGCACTAAAGGTTGCTGTGTAAGCCCCTGAGTTACAGAAACAGTCTGTTTCTGATGCCTGGTGGGGAAACGGCTGCCTGACAAATCTTAAAGGTCCATGACGTTAAGTAACCTTTTACTATGATCAGAGTACTCTTGGATTTTCCTGTTCAGAAATGTATCACTCATATAACCATGCCATCATTAAAAATCAACTGCAACTCTTTTTATGTTAATAAACACCTGTCATTAACGTAAATTATTCTTAGGTGACCAACTCCATTTGCGTCTTTTAAGTTTTTGCTTGACGAGATCAAGAAATTAGCTTCAGATGAGGAAGAGAGAGGTAAATTTTAAAGGACAGGATTTCTTGTTACAAGTGGATTCAGAAGATGAGAGTCAGCAAGCAATTCT